CAGAGTGCAGGATACATCTTCGGAGCTAACAGGTCCTTTATTTCTTTGGGGGGAACGTGGTTTAAAATAAGACAGTTCTAGGCTTGGGGGAGGTTTTCAGCACAAGGTATCTTCCTAATTGTTAATAGAAAGCAGTTTTAGTAGAGACCTTTACCTGAAATGTGGCAGCTACCAGTCTAAAAATAACTCCCAGGAGCCTGAGATTATTTTTATGTGACCTGCTCATCACACCCACAGCTGAGATACGCTCCTTCTCCCCTGAAGGCGTTAATATTTGTAGGGCTGGGTTTATGCCTGCGCACAAGTGTAAAAATTAAGAATGAACTCCAGGCTATACAGAGTTATATTATAATATGATGTAAATGATCCCAGAGGAATATGTTGTAACAATATTTTATAGACATCCACATCTTTCAAATATACACACTGGGGTTGTGGTTACTAACACTAGTACCTAAGCTTGGCCTGACTTCTAGGCAGCTACTCAGGGCAAGAAAAATCCAGAATCCAAATCAGTCGATTACTTAAAATTCTGCTGAAAGGGGGCCCATCCCCAACATTCCACAGCCCTCAAATAATCTACTTGTGAATTGCAGAAACAGTCTAGTGTGGAAATTCAGAGGCTTGAAAAGGTAAGACTAGATGGGACCAAGCTGGGTGGGCAGCTTTTGTGTATCCAAATCTGTCTAGACGAGAATATCCGCCACTCCTCAGGGCAGTGAAAGGAGTCAGGGAGGGGGCACACGGATAGAATACCCTCAAAGAACGGGGAAACCTTTTACAGACGGATTGTCTCTCCGGCTCAACTGCAATTATCAAGATGTCCCCCTGCAATTCCTCATTATTGAATTAATACCTCTGAGGCCCCCCAAAGGTAAACGAAAGGACTCTAATAATTCATATTCACTTAATTACATCTTCTCCAGTGAATAGGGAGAGAGGAGAAGGGGAGGGGGGGCGCTCTCTTTCTTTTTAAAAGTTATTTAACTTTCCCACGACTTGTTCCCCTGAGCTGAAAAATACGGAGTTGCTGTCACATCTCTGTTTGACAATGGAGAAATGTGTCAACAGAAAGGAGGGGACAGGCCTCATCATTAGCCCTCTAATGCAAGAAGCTGTTGTGTATTAAATGAGCCATATGGAATTTATTGTGCTTTATCAGTGCCTGATTTTGACTGTAAAGTGATTCACTCAGCTTCTAGCTCAGGGACATCTGTTTTCTGTTGGCCATCGGGCTGCCCAGTGTTGATCGTCTCTTTGGTTATGAGTCCTGGGTTCGGAAATGCACTCTGGTATGGGGCTGCAAACACCTTTAATAGCATTGCACTCGCTCCCTATTAGATCATTGTGGGCTCATTGCTATAAAAAATGGGAAATCAAATAGCATTAGCCAGCTCCTTGTGTGGGCGGAGGGGAAATCAAACAGCATTTTGCCTTCAAATGGCCCTGTTTGTTCTAGCACTAAGTGGGCTTTTATGAAGCCCGATCGGAGACTTAATCGCAGCCAAATACCTGCTTGGAGCTGAGCGGATTTGTCTAACAACCAAATCCATGCTCCATCCCATTATTTCAATCTGGAGAAGTCAGTTCGAGGAGTGGTTCCTACAGGGGCTGTGGAGGGGGAGGGGGCTCCTGAACTTTAGTCTCAGGGAACTTCTATCCCCTTTCTGATCCCTGACCCCTTTTTAAGGCTCCCAAAGCCAGAACCACCCCCCCTACCCCCCACAGGCCTTCATATTTTAATCTTTTTTGGTGTATGAATGTTTAGGTCTCTTTTTCCGATTCTGCTTCTCTGTACTTAATAAAAGGGTCTTCAAATCCATCAACCCACCTCTCTCCCACTCTCCCTGCCAGCCCGCCTCCCGCCACTTCTCTCTGGGGAGCAGCTCACCTGGACTCGGGCCTCGGTCAAGTCCAGCCTCATGGCCAGTTCCTCCCTATAAGAAAGCAACACACCGACAGGAGGTCACTGCAAGCTCCAGCACCCCCTTCTCAGCCTCCTTCCGCTCGCTGGCAGGCCTCCCCCATCAGGGCCTCCCCTGGCTGCCTGCCCTCATCCCCAAACACGTGGGCATCACCATCCCTACCACACTGGAGTGCCTACTGTTTGATTGAAAACATAAAAACACAGCACATTGCCAGATATGGGCTATTACATATTATATTGTTTCATATTATATTCAAGAGCAACGGGTGGCTTCTTGAGTCTGTAAGGCTCCAAAACTGGGCAATGGGATCATCTCTCACTCTCTGTTAAACCAGAGTTAGACTGACAGCATGGGCACACACACACACACACACACACACACACACACACAGTGCGTATGTCCTGTTCTATCCTAAGAGTAAATGGGAGAACTCAGCACTCCATTTTTTTAAAAAAAATGTTTATGCCCTCTTGGTTTCTGTCCACCTTCTTTAGATTTATTTTCTCTCCCTCACCTCTCTTTCCACCTCTCTGCCTTCCCATCGGTGTCTCTCTCCCCTGCCTTCCTCCCTCCCTTCCCCCCCTTAGGTCATACTCCCCATTACCCTCTGGAGATATGTTAAGCTTGTTAAGAGTTCAGTGGGGTAATTTTTCGATTAAACAAAATTCTGCGCACCTCCTGACTCCAGTGCCCACTACAAACCCTGCCCATCTCAGGGGAAGTCAATTTAACTGAAACCCTACCCCGTCATTGCAGTTATTACTGTGACAATTAAGGCAAATAGGAAACCATTAAGATGCTGTAAAACGGCTTACGACCTGTTTACCGAAAATATGAGCGCACCCAGAATAATTGGCTGGCGGCTCGCTAAGACGATAGAGCGGAGTGGGCCTGCACCAGCCTGGGACCCGGGTCTGCACTGCTAGCAGCGCCCCCCCTACTCCATTCCACACCAGAAACTTCAGGGCTGAGAGAAAGCCCGTTTCCTAAGCGCTTTTGGTCGCCCCCTGCTTCAGTAAGCACCAGTAAATTAAAACCACACTCTTCGTTCCCTTGGAGCATGACCCAGGGGGCTCTAAGTAACGCCTGGGACCAAAAGAGGTGGGCGTGGGGTGGTGGTAAGAAGCTGCCCCCCTCTTTGAGGGCTTTGGTTCCCTCTGGAGAAGCTAAAAAAAAAAGGGCAGACCCGGATGCCAACTGACACCACATCATTTTCTTCTTTTGAAGTACACATATGTGTGATAAATGCAAAAAGCCGATTGGCGAGTTAGCTATTTGACAGCACACACTAATTTATAATTTCATTTTCTTTTTAAATGGTAATGAAGGGCTTGGATAATATAGGGGAGAACCCAATTTAGCTCAAGGGATGAGCAAGTTTAGTGCCTTCACACCCAGCATCCAAAGCACTTCTTTTTTTCAAAACTGTTTCTGGCTAGGAAAGTTTGGCAATTAATTGCCAGAGCAACTGCACTTTAGAGTTGGCTCCGGCCTCCTGAGCCCTAAGCGGCAATCTCTCCTTCGGTTCAAAGGGGCAGGCAGCTTCCCGCTTCTAAAATGCACATTGAAAAGCTGCACACGTCTGGTGCGAAGGAGCTGCCTGAGCTTAAACAAGCCCCAAAAGAGGCAGACCCATTCCTTTCTCCCTCCACAGTGGGGGAAGTTTGTTGTAATCCTGGCTCCTTGCCTGAGCCAAGACCTTGGCCTTAGGGTGCGAAAGGAAAGCCCGCAGCCGGGCTGGCACCCCAGGTCGGATAAATAATGGGGGCTAGGTGCCCAGTATTCTCACAGGCACATCTCTCCAAAATACACACACACAGGTGAGCTCGAAGGGGAGCGGAAAAGAGCAAGGTTGGCCACCCACTCAAAAAAGAAAAATCCCCCCTGCTGTTTCGTCTATGCTTCGCCGGCCCCTGTAAACCCGTGTGCATTAAACGAATGCAGGGTTAACGTGACGGGTGAGAGAGGATAGTGATGAGAGGCAAGATCCTGGCTGGTGCCACAAGGTGTACAGATACCAAACACTGCCCAGTTCTGACTTCCTTCGGGTATTTCAGGAGTCCTCAAGCGACAGAACTTGGATATTTTTAAAGGCCTTTTCTGCAGGCATGGGCTCCAGCTTCACTGTGAACAGCGTAACTGATACCCACGAGGCTCCTGGGGCATCAGGCGGGGGTGGCGAGTGCCCCAATCAGCGGCCAAAAATAGGCCCTGCTTTCCTTTGGCCGAAAGGGCAGGCAACGAGTTTCCTGTGCCCCGCTTGGGACCTAGCCGGGACCGCTGCGCCCGGGGCCCTGCAGTAAGTGTGTGCTGGGGTGCTCACCTCTCCAAAGTGGTGTTCGGGCAACCCTTTGGAGAGGCTGGATTCTTTCTAACTAAAACTTGTACTTTGAAAAAAAAAATTAAACTGGGTACACCTTGGGAAGCAAAGAAATCATCCCAGTTTGAACTTAAAGTCTGGAGTAGGGGTGGAGGAGGACGAGTGGGTGGTTCCTGGTTAGCAGTGGTGGATTCGTTGGGAGGGCGCGCCTGGGTAGAGTCCAGGAGCGAAGTCCCTACCCGAGCCGAGGGCCTCGCCCACCCGCCTCCCTTCTCTGGGGTCCGCTGGCGCCCTCCAGCCGTTGCAGCCAGCCCACCCCGCGCGCGCCTACCTGGTGAAGACATCTGGATAGTGCGTCTTCTGGAAGGCCCGCTCCAGTTCCTCCAGCTGGTAGCTGGTGAACGTGGTGCGGTAGCGCCGCTGTTTGCGCTTGAGTAGCCCCTCCTCCGAGTCGCTTCCCGCAGACAGGCACACGCTGTCCTCGCCGTCCTTGCCCTCAGCGTCCTCTGGGTGCAGCAGCAGCTCCTCCTTGGGCGACAGCTCCCCGCCCTCAGTGGCCACGGTGGCTGCAGCGGCGGCAGCCACCGCGCCGGTGGCGGACACCGCGCAGCGTCGGGGCTCCTTGAGCAGCGCGCGGGCGTCATCTTCCAGCAGCTCTTCCTCGTCGTCCTCAAGCAGTTCTTCTTCCTCATCCTCGTCTTCTTCGTCCTCCAGCAGTTCCTCCTCATCGTCCTCGGCGCCCGTGCCACCACCTGCTGGCTGGGCGCCACCGGGGCCGCCAGCTGTGCCGAGGCGCTCGTCCGGGTGCGCGGCGCCCCCCGGGCCGCCCAGCTCGTCCAGCGCGGGCGGTGGCGGCACGAAGGGCGCCCCGTTTTCACGGTACGACTTGCTGCGGCTGATGCTCACCTGCGGCGCCTGGCTTATCTTCAGCGTGTCCCAGGCCGCCGCGGCGGCAGCGGCGGCCACAGCGGCCCCGGTGCCGTCCGGGCGCTCCCCGGGCCGCGCGGTTGGCGGCGGCGGCGGCGGAGGGGCCTCCCCGCGCGGACCCGCTGTGGCCGCTGCCGCGGCCGCGGCCGCAGCTGCGGCGCCCTGGAGGAGGCGGCCCCCGCCCGGGCCGTACAGGCGCCGCAGCTTGGGCGGCAGGTGCAGCTCGGCCTCGAACGGGGCGCTGCTGCCCTTGGGGGAGCCTGCGGGCAAGGGAGAGTGGTCAGCACGCCAGCCGGGCTGGCGTCCCGGGCAGAGTCGCTAAGGGGCAGACCGTCACTGCTCTAGGGCGCCCAGGCTCCGTCAGTCCCTCACCCGCTGCGCCGCACTGCCGGACTTCTCCTCTCTCGCCTCCTTTCCCCACTTTTCTGGCTTTTTCTTTACACCTTTCTCTTTCCTCCTTTCCCTTGTTTCCCCTTTTCTTTCTCTCCCCTCCGCTCCTCACTTCTTTCCTTCCCATCTCCTGTTCTTCACTTTATTTCCTTTTTTCCTTCCATTTTTTCCCTTCTCCTTTTGTCAGAGTCGCTCCCTTTTCTTATCTTTGTTTCCTCTTTCCTTCCTTTCTCTTTTTGTGCATTCACCCGTCCTTCTTTCCTCTTTCCCCTTGTTCTATTTATCAGTTTTTTTTCTCCTCCCATTTCAGGGCTAGGAGAATCTGAAAACATTTAACAACTTTTCACAAACTGACTGTCCCCCTGAAAACTTTGCCCATGACCTCTGCTGCTCTGCCACACGGGCCCAGGCTGGCAAAAGGGGCGCCGGCCCGCGGGTGACCCGTGGAAGCGGGAGCGGCCCAGTGGTCCTGAGGGCTGAATGGGGCTGGGGCCAACAGCCAGCAGCCTGAGGTGGGGTGGGGGGTTCTGGCCCAAAAAGGTAAAGAGAAATCGTCTGGGCGAAAATGGGCTCAAAAGAGCCTGAGTGGAGGTGGACAGGGTGCAACAGGCTTAGGCTGCTTCTTCCCTTCGAGGAAGGGCCCTGCCCATATGCCATTGCAGGCTAAAACAAGAAAAGGAAAAAGTCAGTTTCATTTTAAAAGGCCCTTTCTCCACCTTCCGCTCCAGTCTTCCAAGTGGCACCGCGGCTGGCCCGCTGGTTTTCGGGTCTTAAAAGAAACAAACGATTCCAGGACACCTCTGCAGCCAGCTCTGCAACACTTGAGCGTAACAGGTTCGGAGTAAAACAACAGTTGTTATGGAATTTTTAATTTTAGAAAAAAAATAAAACCTTTTAAATATTTAAGTCTATTTTTGAAAATAACATAGCAGAGAAAAAAATAGCATCCAGAAGTGGCACATTTCATACATTTCATATACAGTAAGCAACATTTGGGAATTCCAGGGAGATGTTTTTGCAAAGGTTGGGTTTAAAAGGTACAAGAAATCTGAAAGTAGCGGGGGGAAAAAAAGGCATAACATCACGTTTAAAGAAATCTTCCAAACAGGAAAGACCAAGGGTCACTCTGCCTGGTCACCCCCACTTACAGCTTCGGGGTTCTTAACCAAGTTGTTCTTACAAGGGTCCACCTGGAGCTCGCTGTTTCTGACCTGTCGCCCCTTATCAGAGCATCCCTAAGGCTACCAAAGAGGACACTTACACGACCTAACGAGCAACATCAAGAACCTAAAGGCCCCCAAAGCAAAGCTTGGCCTCTGCTTTTTCTGGAAGCAGAGAGGGAGGGAGAGACAACCCCCTGCGACATGTTTATCGCCTTTTGAGGCACCAGGCCTCAGAGTTGTTCCCTATCTTTCCTCTGTCTCCAGCTTGGCAACCCCAGGGCCCTGGCCCCCGATCATCTAACACCCAAACCAGTGCCCGGAGCGCTTTGTAGGTTCGTGGAGGGCGCAGCCTTACCTTGCAAGGCCTTTTCCTGGTCGGCGCGGCTGGCCAGCGGGGCAGGCAAGGTCTGCGCAGCTCCCAGCAGCCTCATTTTGCACGGGCTTCTCCGGCCCAGGATGCTGTCGATGCAGTAGGAGGAGAGCAAAGTTGGAGATTTACTTTTGCACTCGGGCCTCTCGGAGCAGCCCTCCTCCTGGTACTGATTGCTCATGGCTGGGGCTTTTTCCCTGGGCGCACAGAGCGGGCCGCTGTCTGCCTCTCCCGGCGGGTGGGATGGATGTGTGTGTGCTGGGGGCTAGGGATAGATGGCTGGTTATAATGGATATTATTGCGATCTCTGTGCCTTTCTGCCTCCCTCAGTTGTTGGCTGCCGGCTCCTGCCCTGCCTGCGGCCAGAGCTCGCCCTCTCCGCGCACCGGACAAGCAGTAACAAGTGTACTGAGCAGCGGGAGCGGAGCTCTGGAGTCTCTCTCCTCCACGTGCTGAGAGGAGTGCTCTGATTGGCTCGCACCGGAGCCCGGCTGCGCGGGTCTGCAAGCTGAGTGCAAAGCACGGACTGGATTCCGGAAAAGCTGGCTGTGGGGGGCAGTGGGCACTAACCCGAGTCGATTTTCTTTTTCTTTTTTGTTTTTAAGTAACAACTTTCAAAGTTCTCCATCGTCTTCCTGCTTCTCCTCCTTTAACTCTTTAGGGCTGGCCCGAAGTTCTAGGCTACTCCGATGTTAGGCTTGTGGGTTCTACTGGGGCGATGTGCGCCCTTTCCATGCACCGCAGGCCCTCCCTCGCTCCTTGTAAGTGAGGCCTCGAGGCTCGCGTTCGGACGGACTTTGCACTTTTCAAAGCCGTATTGCCCTCCCAGGACAGCGCCTTGACCTCAGTGGCGCTCAGTCGCGGCCCTATTTACGACGAACGGGCCGCAAAGATGCCAGGGTAAAGAACCCAAGCCAACATGTGCCTGTGCCGTTTGAACGTTAAGTTTTCTCTTGTCTTCACCCTGCACCCCGGCGGTTGCTCTCTTTTTAGTAACGTTCCCGAACCTCTCTCATCTCCACCTAACTCTTGGAAAAAGTTCCTTTAAAGATGAAGCTCTGCCAAGGGCGCGAGGCCTCCTTACCTACAGGGCAGAAGGGATCAGGCGAGTGTCGGCTGTGAGGAAGGCGGCTAGGGAAAGATTCGGGAGTGTCCCCCTTCTCTTCAGACTCTTTTCCCTCCCCTTCAGAAGTGTGCGTCGCGAGCTAGGCCGACGCCCCGAGGCTAGACAGTCTGGAATCGAGCGCAGGGAGCGGAACTTGCCAGGGATCTGAACGCTCCAGGATGGGAAGGACCCCGGTCCGCTTCAACCAAATGTAAGCGCGTAAAATTCTGAATTCCCTTGGCCTGACTCCCACAGGCAAAGGTGAGCGAGTGAGCGCGAGGAAGAGCACGGCTGTTCCCAAGCAGCTCCCTGCGCGTCCAGCGCTGTGAACCAAGACCCAACTCGGTTTGAGGTTGGGCCGCGTCCCGGCAAGCGGCTGGCCCGGACTTTCTCCTGGCCTGGGTGCACGGCCCACGGGACAGCCAGAGGCTTGACGCTGGCAGGGCTGGGGCGAGGGTGGTGAGTGGGAGATGGGCCGGAGAGGGGGAATCCACGCCGGGTTTTCCTCTTTCAACCCCTCCAAAGTGTCAAAGAGAAAAGCGTGTTTTTTTTTGTTTTTTTTTTTTTTTAAGGATTATACTTGAATCACTTTCAGATGATATTTTAAAATACAAGGATACATAACTGGGATATTTTTCAGCCATAAACATATGCCTAACTCTTGGATGCTGGTGGGTGGGTGGCGGACAGAGCAGGCTGGCTTGGCTAGGGCATTCAAGACACTGCTTGAGGGGGACGAAGAGTTGGAAACAGGCGCTTTGATAGTGCTGTTAACACTAATGCTAGTATTGCTCCCACTATTAAAGACAAGCGGAAAAGGATATCTCTCTCTGTCTTTCAGTGCCTCTGTCTTTGTATCCCTCTTTCTTTGTGTGTTCGTTAGATTCTCGCCAGTTTTCCCCCACACTTGAGTGACGGGGATGAGGGGTGGGCAGAGGAGAACCGCAACTATCTTTGACATTTGCTTTTCCTTTAAGCCCGCTCTGCTGTTTCAAGGCACCTGGGATCTTCCGCGTTTCCTGCATTCTTCCTTTTCCATCCTCACCAACAGTTCGGTGTTTTTATGCAGTCCCATTCAGTTTTAAATAAACCTTCTGCACGCTGATTCTCCCACCCCCTCACTTCCCCCTCGAGTCCTGGAGAGCCCACTCGGGCCGCGCGGGTCTCAGCACAGCCCAGAGCGTAGACTCAGCGGTCTCTCCGCAGCCTCCAGCCGCGTACCCTCGCGGGCATCCCTGCGGCTGATAGCTGCGACAAGGACACAGGCACTTTTCCCTCCCCGGCCGGCGCTGCGTCGGAAATCCACAAGACCCGGCTGCCGGGTGGCTCCGTTACTTCACACTCAGCTCCGCACACGCAAGAGTGGGCTGAAAATGGGTCCACAAAAGATCCTGTGAAATCAAAAGGCACAAATCATTTCCGAGAACCTAACGGGGTCTCGACTCTTGGTCCCCCTCCTTCTCTTTCTGCAGCTGTTCTCTGTTTTTTAAAAAAAGAAGTCGGACTTTCTGCTGGGGTGTATTCTAATTTTAACCATCTGCTGTGAAAGGGGAGGTTAACATACAATTTCTTCTGATTCTGACTAAATGATCCTTGGAATTAAATCTAATTCTATTAGTGGAATATAATGTATTTCTTTGGGAAACCTGTCTGAAAACGCTACCTTTGTTATTTTATTTTGTTGATTTTTGGTATTTTCTAATCAATCTTCCCAAGTGAGGACGCTGTTGTGAAGGCACACCCATTCACTTCCGGGAGAAAGGCCTGACCCAGCTCACTTTACACCCCGCAGCCCTGAAATGATCCTTATCACAATTCAATACTCAACTTGAAAAATTACAATTGACTCTTGCTATTCCCTAAATAATAATAATAATAATAATAATAATAATAATAAGAATAATAATAATAACCTCCACAGAAAGCTTCTCTGACATACCCACAGGGGGACAGAATCTGCTTGTGTCTCCATAGTGTGTAATCAGATTATGGGTTTCAGATGGATATGTGTTGCCTTACGTGTTTTTTGAGAAAACAAATGATGCATCTAATTTATAGGAACACTTTGATTTGTTGAGTGAGGAAGACTTCTAAGCATTGGGTTCTACACGCATGTATAAAATAACTTTTAGTTGAGCCAATTTAATATTTACTCTCAGAGCACAATGACACTTCACTTTCCTTTCGCCTCACTTTGTTCACTTTCTTTTACCCACTAACCAAAAGCAATTTCACATTTGTGATGCTATTATTTACAGTTGTCCTTGTTTATTCACAGCTCCTGGCTCCTTTAATCTTTGGTGTAACTGTTGGTTTTCTCTTCCTGGGCTGCCTGGAAAACAATGGCTGGCACTTCATCTCCTTTCAAAACCAATCAGTAAAATAAAAATGACAATTATGGCCAGAAGCCGGGGTCAGAAGTGTTTAAAACTGTTGTTTATGGCAAAAAAAATGAGGCTTGTCCCCAGGACTGGAAATAATAATTACCTAGAAGAGGCAAATGGAAGAAACCCCTTTCTTTTCTGTGGTGAAGGCTAATTCTACATTATAGTTTCAAATTGTATTTGCAAGAAATGCTGTGTAAGGGAGTGGCAGTTAGATGTCATTACACAGGAAAAAAATGTTTGGAGGAGTTAACCTTGCACGCTTTTCATTTAGGATGCTTTAATTTATTATGCAATATACACATGGATAAATAAAGCTGTAATGGGCTTCCAGCCACACCGGACAGCTCAGGTCCCCTTAAATTATGCTCAACCTCTTCAAAACATATATTTAAACAATAGAAATAAACTTCATTGCCGTCTTGTGACCAATTTGGAAGCCATTGGAAGGGAAGACAATAAGTCCTGATTACACGCAAGGATTCTCTGTGATGTGATATCCCCTCTGCCAAGCCATTTTGCTGTTTTATTTATTTAATTTCTTTCTTTTTTTAAAACAAACTTTCATTCATTTATGGTCTTCCGCAACCTGCTAATTTAACACTGGAGCGCGTTACTGCAGTGTTAGGAGGAGAGAAAGAGGGAGAGAAAACAACAATACTGCAATGATCCAAATGATACAGTAGAATTATAGCAATTATAGTTCTACTTGTGGAAGAAAACCTTGCTGAGATCAGGCAAACAAACTGAAGCCTTGTGAGGATAACAAGTGTCGGGATTGACAGCCGGTGCTGGGAAGAACTGGAGGGCACAAACAGAAATATTTGCCTCCCCCCCCACCCCCTTAACTCCAACCAGTCAAGGTTAACCTCCTCCAATGCTGCTTTCAGGGTCTTATCCACTTCAGGGTATGCATTTTACGCAGACATCGAGGTTTGTCCTCCTGGAAGTCTGGTAATAGGAGGAAATGCAACATAATCCGCTTGCCTTGCACTTGCCCCTCTCTTTCTCTGCCCCTGTTTGCCCTCCACTCCCTACCCCTGCCTCAGTTCTCCCCACGGCTGCTGAGATCTGCCTGTGGACCATGTTTGTTTGTTGACGTGTTTTCAAAGGAGCAGGCTGTGGAGAGGTCCAAAGGGACTGATAACTTGGATTTCCAGGGAAGACTCCTTGGCGATGCTAATCCTTCCCTCTTTGCCGTGTCGATCGCCTGAGCTGTGGGTTCCACCATCTGGGCTCGGCTGGAAGAGGTTTATTGGGGAGCGGCGCTTTTGGGAGCGTCCCGAGGACAGCGGCCGGCCGAGCCCTCAAGGTATGGACATGTGCGTGTGATTATGATGTCAGGACAACACCCCTTGTCTGTAAACTTCGCCACTTTGGGTTACCCGTCAGCAGCCAGGAAAGGGGGCGGGAGATCGAGAACTAAAGAAAAACAGACCCCCCTCCGACCCCGCCATCCATCCAGGCGGCCAACCGAGTAATTTCCAAGCCTTGCTGCCAACACAAAGCTAGGCGACGAGGTCGCAGCTTCAAATCTGCCCTGGGAAGGGGAATCCCCTCCCACCAGAAGCAAGAGGTTGGGCTCTCACCCTGAGTCCCTAGGCGGGAGCCCCCATCGCCTGCCGCACCCATCCCCCCGGTTTCCAGCCCCAACAGGGAAACTTCTCCATGCCTTGAAATCACCAAGACCTGGTTGCTCCTCTCCAACGCCTCACGGCGGGAGCCCTGGGGTCGAGCCGTCCCCAGTGCAGCCCTCCCTCTGTAGCTGCTGCTCCCGGCGACCCCAGATGTGGCGGAGGGCATGGGTTGCACTTCAGATCAGGAGCAGCGAACACCCCAAACCCCGCGTAAGTGCGGAGGCCTCGCTGACCCTGGCTGCTGGCATGCTGGCAGCCAACCCCCTACCTCTGGGGCTGGGCTCGGCGCCACGGCCAGAGCGCGCCCCCTAGCGGGGGCTCTGGGTGTGCTGGGCCCTCCCGC